TGGGGGGCTGATGTTCTTGTGACAGTGTATGTACCTTTTAATAATAGGAGTATATTTATCTTTTGGGTAGTCTAGGGTTTTTCTAATTTTATTGGGCTTTATATATTCTTGAAATCGAGTTTATCGATTTGAGAGAAAGTATTATTTGCACCCAATAAAACTTTCATGGTATCATAGGCTCTTCTCCTATCAAATCGCAATCCCTAAAATCGCCTCTACCATCGCACTCCTCTCACAAATACAGTTCTTCGTTCTAATTTGGGTGGGGAATATTGGTTGAAAGACTTCATTGACTTCTTGGATGCATCTAACATTATATATCAATCATCTTACTCAGGTACTCTTCAACAAAATGGTGTTGCTGAGCATAAGCATAGACTTATTCTTGAAACGAGCTCACTTGCTTTCTTCATCTGTTCCCTCTGTCTTTTGGGGTAAAACTGTTCCTACAACAGTTTATTTATTAAATCGTATGCCCACCCCACTCCTATCAGATGCTTCTCACAATGAAAAGTTGTTTGGAAAACTTTCTAATCACTCTCCTTTTCTTGTCTTTGGTTCAGCCTGCATTGTTCTTCTTCCTAATCATTTTGTTTTATGTTTTTTCTTGGAGTATGGTTTCAATCAGAAGGGATATCGGAATTATGATCCAGTGTCTACAAACTTATATACACTCTCATAGTTCTGGTATAGCAAACGGTTTTAGTTTGGTTCTATTCTTTTACCTAGTGCAGAAGTGTTGGCATTCAAAGCAAAATGCTGAAATTTAGACAGAAACTTGCATAGCAAAACATAGCTTATTCATAAATGACAGGGGCAACTATCATGTTTAGATTGTCATTAATGTGTCAACTACAATCTTAATTACCATAGCATTATAGAATAAAATATGTATGCGTGACTAACATCCAAATACTGTTCCAGCCCATTTATTTAGCATTAAGTATAAAGTTTTGCAGATACGCGGAAAATATATATATATATTTTTTTAAATTCGTTGAATCTTTCATTAGCACATTTATCGATATTATTGGAAAATGTTAATACTTGACTTGATTGAGGTAGTGTGTTTCTTTTCAGAAGAGGAAAAACTTTGGATTAATGACTCTATCAGCTACTTTTGCTTCTGATGGTCTTGTACTNTCCATTTCTCAAACTCCATGTATGTATAGTGTGTTTCTTTTCAGAAGAGGAAAAACTTTGGATTAATGACTCTATCAGCTACTTTTGCTTCTGATGGTCTTGTACTGGCTGCAGTACTGGGGATGGTAAATGTTGTCAAACATTAATCGTAGGACTTCATCTGAATGGCTGCAATAATGAGCATGATTTGTTAAATTGCCATCACTTGTTATCTATCGTACCAACGTTTCTTGCATAGATTCCGAATATATGAACAGACAGTCACACAGAGAAAGCCATATAATACTGTGGCATTTGAATAACTTTCCAAAGTAACAAAAACAATGAAACCCCAGCATAACTTCTGGTTTGTGTTTTTACAGTGAGCAAGAAGCTTTACACCCAATCTCTATCGGATGAAGTATGGCGACTAGAAAATATTGGCAAAGGAGGACCTTTCCACCAGCGTTTGACCAAAGAAAACATCATAACTGTGAAGGATTTCTTGACCCAATTTTTTTTGAACCCTGAAAGGCTTAGAGAAGTAAGATTTCATTGCTCTTTCTTCATATATTCCCCAAGGATAAGGACCAGTAACTAGTCGTATGTCAACTACTTGACACTCCACTCTGAATATAATGTTTGTCAAGGCGCTACATGCTAATTATACAAAATGTTACCTTTCTAAAGGTTGAATATACCAAAATTTGTTCTTCTTTCCTGTCTCTTTCTTGGAGTTTTATGTTTTTTTGTTGTTATTTTTTTTTTGGGGTGGTATTTGAACCAACTCCAGCACCCTCACTTTTTCCAAATATGACTATGTTGAGTCTGATGCAAAATCCCCTGAAAAACAAATTTGGATTGAACTTCTGATTTGCTTTTTTTATTTGCAAGATCTGAGCATATTTCTGTTAAGCTAATGTGTCCTGCAATTAAAGCACCCAATGTATACTGGTTCAACTTCTGTTAACTCAAATTTTCTAAGGTACAATAGTCTATAGTGACATTTGTGATTTGACTTTTGGTTTATACGCAACATGAACAATAGCATATCTGTCTATTTAAAGCCTTGAACAGTGGCTATTCATCTATGAACAAAGAATAAGCTATTTCACTTTCCTTGGTCAGATGAAGTAATGATAATAGTTGTTTGTTGGTATCTCTACAGATCCTTGGCAAGAGGATGCCTGATACGAGGTGGGAGACCACTGTGAACCATGCCAAGAAATGTAAACGTGATACAAAGACGTATTTATACTATCCTCCCAGTTCACAGCCAAAAATTGGTGTCGTGTTTGATTGTGTGGGACAAGTTATGGGGTTATATTCGGAATCGGAATCCCTGCATGTTCCCGTTGATAAGCTCTCTGAGACTCAGAAGGCACGCTTCTCTTACCAAATGATTTTTTCTGTTTTACCTTCTTTCATCCTTTTATGGGTCATTTCTAACACGTAGTTTGTCAATTTTGGCATTAGGCTCATGCCCTCGAGTTGGTGGTATCTGCATTTAAGCACAGGGTAGATGTTATCCCCATTGATGATTATACTTCTCTTACTCAGCGCTCTTTGCCCTCATCTGAAGGTGTTCACCCCAATAACTCCAACGACCCAGATTGGCCCAATGTATACGACTTTGGGACTTCTGCCATGAATGGTGCTTACAATCCTACAAATCCTGGTACATCGTTTCAAGGTAGCATTGTACCCACATTTCCCAGTTGGCCAACAAATAGTCCTAGGGTACATGGCTTGCAGAACACTGGCAATATGGCCCCAGACACTGGCACCAACTTCTCAAGCTACGACACAGTGCCTCTCCATTCTGATGGGGACATAGACAACTTGCTGAATTTTCCGAATTCTGATCTTGAACTTGTTGAGAACCATGGTTTGGAGTCACTTGCTGATCAACAGACTGTCCATGCTGCAGTTGTTCCTAGTGAAGACCCGGCGGAGATGGGGCGATAGCATCCAAGGGTCTGGGATGATTGTTCAGGATGAGAAAGCTTGTCATTTTGAAAAATAACAATGGTGCTAAAAAGCAGAGACTCGACTAATGTGCTGGCCAGAATGATTCAATCATATCACATACACAGTGCAAGCAACTGCTTCCCATTCATAGATTGTGTGAAGTTAGGACAAGTTGGAGCTTTTTTCAGGTGCCAGACCAAGTGTAAGTAATAAATGTGTGAGGCATAGTTCTGTTAGCTGGACTTCATGTTTGTTTTTGTTTTGTCGTCATATTGTCAAATGTCTCTTCATGATGTTCGTTTTTGTTTTGGCATTAGATTGTCAAATGTCTTTTATTTCCCCTACATAAGTGGATGCATATGTTAAAGCTGGAACATATATGTATAACTTTGCAGCTTATAAATATAATATATACCCCTAAACAAGCAAAGTCACTGTGAAATGGAAAAGAATTGTTCAATACACAAGTTTCGATTTTGAGGGAAACAAGAATAGTGGACAGAGACACTGTCAAGCTTCCCATGCCACCGACGTGATCTCTAGGCCAGAAGCAAGTAGATAAGCCAAAACCAAGAGACTGATCCAAGCTTCATGATCCTTGCACATTACAGCCAGCAAAATGACTGAAAAATACCTTATGTGTTACATGCCTTGTTGTCATTGCATATTTCTTCCTGTAAGGGGGGAAAAANAGATTGGCCCAATGTATACGACTTTGGGACTTCTGCCATGAATGGTGCTTACAATCCTACAAATCCTGGTACATCGTTTCAAGGTAGCATTGTACCCACATTTCCCAGTTGGCCAACAAATAGTCCTGGGGTACATGGCTTGCAGAACACTGGCAATATGGCCCCAGACACTGGCACCAACTTCTCAAGCTACGACACAGTGCCTCTCCATTCTGATGGGGACATAGACAACTTGCTGAATTTTCCGAATTCTGATCTTGAACTTGTTGAGAACCATGGTTTGGAGTCACTTGCTGATCAACAGACTGTCCATGCTGCAGTTGTTCCTAGTGAAGACCCGGCGGAGATGGGGCGATAGCATCCAAGGGTCTGGGATGATTGTTCAGGATGAGAAAGCTTGTCATTTTGAAAAATAACAATGGTGCTAAAAAGCAGAGACTCGACTAATGTGCTGGCCAGAATGATTCAATCATATCACATACACAGTGCAAGCAACTGCTTCCCATTCATAGATTGTGTGAAGTTAGGACAAGTTGGAGCTTTTTTCAGGTGCCAGACCAAGTGTAAGTAATAAATGTGTGAGGCATAGTTCTGTTAGCTGGACTTCATGTTTGTTTTTGTTTTGTCGTCATATTGTCAAATGTCTCTTCATGATGTTCGTTTTTGTTTTGGCATTAGATTGTCAAATGTCTTTTATTTCCCCTACATAAGTGGATGCATATGTTAAAGCTGGAACATATATGTATAACTTTGCAGCTTATAAATATAATATATACCCCTAAACAAGCAAAGTCACTGTGAAATGGAAAAGAATTGTTCAATACACAAGTTTCGATTTTGAGGGAAACAAGAATAGTGGACAGAGACACTGTCAAGCTTCCCATGCCACCGACGTGATCTCTAGGCCAGAAGCAAGTAGATAAGCCAAAACCAAGAGACTGATCCAAGCTTCATGATCCTTGCACATTACAGCCAGCAAAATGACTGAAAAATACCTTATGTGTTACATGCCTTGTTGTCATTGCATATTTCTTCCTGTAAGGGGGGAAAAAAGAAGGAAAAATGGAGTCATTTAAGTATTCCTTCTCACTTACCCCAAAAAAATAAAAGCATGGCTTCTCATGTGAAATAATTAAACACTTCTGAATGTNGGGGTACATGGCTTGCAGAACACTGGCAATATGGCCCCAGACACTGGCACCAACTTCTCAAGCTACGACACAGTGCCTCTCCATTCTGATGGGGACATAGACAACTTGCTGAATTTTCCGAATTCTGATCTTGAACTTGTTGAGAACCATGGTTTGGAGTCACTTGCTGATCAACAGACTGTCCATGCTGCAGTTGTTCCTAGTGAAGACCCGGCGGAGATGGGGCGATAGCATCCAAGGGTCTGGGATGATTGTTCAGGATGAGAAAGCTTGTCATTTTGAAAAATAACAATGGTGCTAAAAAGCAGAGACTCGACTAATGTGCTGGCCAGAATGATTCAATCATATCACATACACAGTGCAAGCAACTGCTTCCCATTCATAGATTGTGTGAAGTTAGGACAAGTTGGAGCTTTTTTCAGGTGCCAGACCAAGTGTAAGTAATAAATGTGTGAGGCATAGTTCTGTTAGCTGGACTTCATGTTTGTTTTTGTTTTGTCGTCATATTGTCAAATGTCTCTTCATGATGTTCGTTTTTGTTTTGGCATTAGATTGTCAAATGTCTTTTATTTCCCCTACATAAGTGGATGCATATGTTAAAGCTGGAACATATATGTATAACTTTGCAGCTTATAAATATAATATATACCNTCCTGATGTGAGCACCAAATGTTCCTGCTAGACACCTTTGCAGTTCTGTCCTTGTTATATAGAATTGTATTTAAGGATCCCGTGCTCAAAAAATTAGGGGTGCAGACCAGAGGCCAGAATGAAACCAAAATTACAGTAAAGTTCAGGCTTTCTGTTTAGGTACAATAGTCTATAGTGACATTTGTGATTTGACTTTTGGTTTATACGCAACATGAACAATAGCATATCTGTCTATTTAAAGCCTTGAACAGTGGCTATTCATCTATGAACAAAGAATAAGCTATTTCACTTTCCTTGGTCAGATGAAGTAATGATAATAGTTGTTTGTTGGTATCTCTACAGATCCTTGGCAAGAGGATGCCTGATACGAGGTGGGAGACCACTGTGAACCATGCCAAGAAATGTAAACGTGATACAAAGACGTATTTATACTATCCTCCCAGTTCACAGCCAAAAATTGGTGTCGTGTTTGATTGTGTGGGACAAGTTATGGGGTTATATTCGGAATCGGAATCCCTGCATGTTCCCGTTGATAAGCTCTCTGAGACTCAGAAGGCACGCTTCTCTTACCAAATGATTTTTTCTGTTTTACCTTCTTTCATCCTTTTATGGGTCATTTCTAACACGTAGTTTGTCAATTTTGGCATTAGGCTCATGCCCTCGAGTTGGTGGTATCTGCATTTAAGCACAGGGTAGATGTTATCCCCATTGATGATTATACTTCTCTTACTCAGCGCTCTTTGCCCTCATCTGAAGGTGTTCACCCCAATAACTCCAACGACCCAGATTGGCCCAATGTATACGACTTTGGGACTTCTGCCATGAATGGTGCTTACAATCCTACAAATCCTGGTACATCGTTTCAAGGTAGCATTGTACCCACATTTCCCAGTTGGCCAACAAATAGTCCTAGGGTACATGGCTTGCAGAACACTGGCAATATGGCCCCAGACACTGGCACCAACTTCTCGAGCTACGACACAGTGCCTCTCCATTCTGATGGGGACATAGACAACTTGCTGAATTTTCCGAATTCTGATCTTGAACTTGTTGAGAACCATGGTTTGGAGTCACTTGCTGATCAACAGACTGTCCATGCTGCAGTTGTTCCTAGTGAAGACCCGGCGGAGATGGGGCGATAGCATCCAAGGGTCTGGGATGATTGTTCAGGATGAGAAAGCTTGTCATTTTGAAAAATAACAATGGTGCTAAAAAGCAGAGACTCGACTAATGTGCTGGCCAGAATGATTCAATCATATCACATACACAGTGCAAGCAACTGCTTCCCATTCATAGATTGTGTGAAGTTAGGACAAGTTGGAGCTTTTTTCAGGTGCCAGACCAAGTGTAAGTAATAAATGTGTGAGGCATAGTTCTGTTAGCTGGACTTCATGTTTGTTTTTGTTTTGTCGTCATATTGTCAAATGTCTCTTCATGATGTTCGTTTTTGTTTTGGCATTAGATTGTCAAATGTCTTTTATTTCCCCTACATAAGTGGATGCATATGTTAAAGCTGGAACATATATGTATAACTTTGCAGCTTATAAATATAATATATACCCCTAAACAAGCAAAGTCACTGTGAAATGGAAAAGAATTGTTCAATACACAAGTTTCGATTTTGAGGGAAACAAGAATAGTGGACAGAGACACTGTCAAGCTTCCCATGCCACCGACGTGATCTCTAGGCCAGAAGCAAGTAGATAAGCCAAAACCAAGAGACTGATCCAAGCTTCATGATCCTTGCACATTACAGCCAGCAAAATGACTGAAAAATACCTTATGTGTTACATGCCTTGTTGTCATTGCATATTTCTTCCTGTAAGGGGGGAAAAAAGAAGGAAAAATGGAGTCATTTAAGTATTCCTTCTCACTTACCCCAAAAAAATAAAAGCATGGCTTCTCATGTGAAATAATTAAACACTTCTGAATGTTTGCAACAAAACTTTCTTAGATTAGAATGCTTATGCATAGGAGTGCTGTCTTGAAATTAGTTCTAAGACAAGGACAGGAAAAGGAAAAAGGGCTGAGAAGAAGCCAGCCTCTGTAGACGATATCAGTTTCTATGTCATACTAGTTAGCAATGTAAGTTTTTCCTTTACTTCTTTAGTAAACTACTTGTTGTCTTATATCGAGTTTAAGATTCAAAAATTAAGTTTATATACAGGATAAATTATTGAACAATGAGTAGGGAGACATGAATGCAGAGCTATTCAGCAAGTGGTGATTAGTCTCATAAGAAAGTAACTTGGCCTATATCTTGCACAAGGCCAATGAAAACTACTTTAAAAATTGTAGTTTCGGATCCTGAATTTCCAAGTTAAGAGACAAACAGCAGGACACCAGAAAACTTCATTTCTTTCCAACAATCAGCTGAAACTATATGTACTAACCCACCCTAGCTGTATTATTTCTTATGCCTATCATAATCAAAGCCAGTGTAATCTCCATATTTTTTTCCACACCACTCCAGTGCTTGCTCTGTAAGAAGATTAAACCAAAACTAATGTGTCTATAAGGTAGATTTTGATACATATTCTTGGGAGGAATACCCATTTTCGATTGCCCTATGAATGCAGTCCACTTCATATTCTTTGATGAGTAAAAGTTTAGGCTGTGGATTCAAAGTCAAACTTAAGGATAATGGTTCCACAATATGTGATACTGTAGATTTGGATTTTTTGTATTAAAGTGAAACCTTCTATTACACCTAAACTGAAATTTCTAATTCCATTCAAAGAAACAATTGGACTTGGTTCCAGGGGTACTGGAGTCGCACACTGCGAGGGAAGATTGTTGCATCAATTTTTTGTTAGTTGGAAGGATGGAAAGTTGGAAAGTTGGAGGGATACATAGGAGATAGACGGGAAGGAAACCCTCTCACCCATACAAACCACACGGGTTTGAGTCTCATCTCACCCCATGAATGTGTTGTCCCTCTCCTGTGACATATTAAGTTCTCTAAAGAAAAAGGCATTAACAATGACATTTATGCAATTCATGACACTTCAGGAATGAAAAGATAACATAGATTATAGCAATTGCATTTGCAGACCTTCTTCTTCCGTGCCATTATAACTTCTTCTAGAGGTGGCCGGCCTGTAATCAGAAAGATCATGAACTAGTCATTATTAAAGCTGAAAACTTGTACAAAATAATATAAGCCATCTACATAACATAGAAGTACACGTTTTTGGGATTTTCTGATGTAACTTACTGAAGCATCATTTGAAGTATGTCACATGAACATATATGTAGCATAACATGTTGGGAAGTGGCAAAAGTATAAGCATACGTCCTCGTGTGATAAAATAAATTTGGGATATGGTTCACTCTCAACCTAGCAGATGACCTGCAATGGAGCAGCTATAAACTATTGGCCGATAATTGAAAATATGAAAGGGAGCATTATGCAAAACAGATGCTAAGCAGATAATCACATATTTATCGCCAAAACAAAAATAAAAATCAAAACATAGTGAGCAAACAGGGAGTACCTGTTATTTGAAGACGATATTTTGCCCAAACACCATACACAACATCGGCTATTGTTGCAACCTGTCAATATAATGTCTTTTCAACACAATTCCCATATAAGAAGATACTAACAAGCTTGCTGATAAGATCACATTGCCTAGACCGTGACAAATCAATTGAACTCAAATGTAAATAAGAGGACTCACAGGCTTGTATTTGGTTATGGCATAAACCCATCCCAGACCAACTGCTTCATATAGTTTTCTAAATGCCTGCACAAGTTCATAATGAAATTTTGTTTCTTGGTGTGCTTTTCAAACCAAACAGAAGAATAACAGCTTCAACTTTTAGGAACAATAAAAATTTGCAGAGGGTTCCTCAATTATTTTCTAGATGCAGAATTATCTAATAATGAATGGCCAATGTTCGTGTTATCCACTTCCTCTAGTCCTTTCGCATCACCACAAAATAAGCAAATAAAATAGTTGTATGGTCGTATATAACTTCACTTACTTCAGCTTGTTCCAAAATCATAAATACGTGAAATGGCACCACGCATGCGCTTGAAAAAAATGGAATTAAGAGTCTTCTTCAAATCTATTAATTGTTGCTTAAAATCCAACCAATAATCATTTGAAGAAAATCTTGCTCAAACAGGGCAGTGGCGAAATTGGAGTTTCAGCTTTTGATATGTGGGGATGACAGGACAAATATTAATAAGGCGGCAAGCCTCGCTTTTGCGGCAAAATAATCCCTTAATTCAGGTGCATAGACTAAATTAACAAGAATCAGCATGCATNTGCAGCAAAATAATCCCTTAATTCAGGTGCATAGACTAAATTAACAAGAATCAGCATGCATACAACAGAGGAAAATAAGGGTAAGATAGAGACACCACATCTTATGTATGTAGTTTTAGATTAACTAGAAAGGCATAAAAATATGAAGAAATTATTAAGGCTATTATGAAAATCTTACAGGGGTATACCTCAACGTTTTTGACTACAGCTCCATCAGATAGGATCGCATGAATTCTTCCCATAACCTAAACAATAGAAAATATATTTGTGAGACCTTAAACAGTCATAACAACTAAAAAAATACCGATTCATGAAGTTATGCTATAGAAGTCCATAGTATTGTGCCACCGATTGGCTGATATNCACCTAAACAATAGAAAATATATTTGTGAGACCTTAAACAGTCATAACAACTAAAAAAATACAGATTCATGAAGTTATGCTATAGAAGTCCATAGTATTGTGCCACCGATTGGCTGATATCAGGACATTGGCCTTCAATTCATGAAGAATTTATGACAGTATGAGAGCCAGTTATCAGTTAAAATCACACTTTTCTGTAGTATTAATACGTCCCAATAGCCTTACCCAAGAAAGTTGGGTTTAAGGCTTGTCAACATTATAAGCCTGAGGCTGAGAGGCTTCAGGGTCCCAGGGAGGCAAATGTAAAAGAAAGACTTAAATCTCGATCATTACTCATGCTATGAATTCATTAAGTTATATAATGGAAATAGAAGCAAGATGTTATTAAGGTATTAAGGTGCAGATGTTAAGTCACACAAGGTGTAGTCCCAAACTTGCACACAGTTTGCAAAAAAGAAAACATTATGAACTTTATTGTTTTGTACTGTAAACTTCAGATCATTATTAAATGCCACTGTTTTACTTCAAAACCATATATGCTATTTTATAACTAAGAATTGACTATTTTTATGATTTCTAAACCTTATTTGGGTTGGAGAGAGCCCATGTAGCTATTGTAATGTGTATTAGATTACCATGTATTGCATGTATAAATATGACTAAAGAATAGGCAATGTGAGTGTCTTAAAAGTTTGGAAGTGTTTTGAATATTACAGGCATGTAGGAGAGAATTTAGATAGAAAAAAAAGTAGATACTGCCTTATTAAGTGTGAAATAAAATTACAGTTTCATAGTCAAGGCCCTGATTCTCCTCCGGAGAGTATTGAACCGAACTTATATCAGCAAACTTGATTGTTCCATAGCTCTTATTCCTCTCTCTTATCATATTGACCTGACAATAGAATCACACCAATATGAAATTATATGAAACTAAGTTACCTAGTAAAAAAATTAACAGAACAACTGAAGAATTCACCACTCAAAACACATTAATAATACTATGGAAGTAAATAAAAACCTAGAATGCAATTGTGTGTAACTTAGATTGCACCTCACGCATGCAAAGAGAGCACTCGCCATCGTAAAGCATTTTAATCTTCCATTCCTTGGATAATTGTTCTTCATCTTCTTTCTTGGGAGTTACAGGATCTGCTGCTGCCCCTTGTATTGCGCGAATCGAATACTTAAATTCTACAACCAACAAAATATTAACATGAAAAAATTAACCAAATTCTAAAATTTCAAATCTATAACACCCAACAAATTTTGTTCCATTCTATGCTTAACAAAGCAGCAAAGAACTAAACCCAATTTGAATTAGACTCAATTCAACCAAGAAAGAACAAGAAATCAATAGAATCATAAAAAATGTACGTAATTGATAAATAACCAGTTTGGGAATGGGCAAATGGAAGTGATCTATGAAGAGGGTTTGAAGCAGAACCATGATATCTAGTTCTGAGATATCCTGAAATCGAGAGCAGAGATGTTGTGCTTGTTTGTCTTCCGATTGAAGAAGCTGCACCTCTAATCGCCATTGTTTTCTTCTTTTGTTTTGTGGTTCATTCACTCACTCTAACTAACTGATGAATGGAAAGAGGAAGAAGGCCAAACGAACTTGTATACGTGGCAACACCAGCTTCATCCANTGTGCGGGCTAGATCCTGCACGATGTATAAAATATTGGGAACAGATCTCTCCTCTGGTGAACTTTGGGTGAGCCGGTTGAGTGGCCAAACACGCTGCTTGAAACAGCCTGCAAGGTACGGTGACAACCTGGAACGGCAAAGGGAAGATCCTGGGAAATGACGAACGACCCTGTATGTGTGAAAGGTTTTCCTGGAACAAAGGAGAACAAGTTAGAAGGGCGCCGGAGTGTTTTCCGGCGTATCCCCTCCGACGGTCTAGTCAGTCTTTGAATGAGAGAGAGGAAGGAGAAAACACTGAGAAGGATATTTTGTCGTAGAGAGTTTGTGAATGCATACCCGCTTTGCCTTTTGGAAGGAGTATTTATACCTTAAAAGCTCATGATTGCTGTCAGTGTGGTCAGTAGGTGATCATCAGGCACAGGTAGCGTGTGTATTGATTTGATGAGGAATGTCTTCTCTAATTGATTGCTCGGGGTCCCGAGCAATCAATGCTGAGCCGTCGGGACGCCGACGGTACAATATGCTCCTTTCGGGAAGGATGCAATAAATGCTCTGTAATAGGAGCATTTATTGCCTTTCATATCCGAACCTTACCGCATTGAATGCGGTCTCGTCAACAGAAGGGTGCAATTAATTTGTTTGCTTTCCCAAGTCGCGTGTCAGCGACGGCATGCGGTTTGTCTGCTTCTGATGTGACATTATTTGCCACGCGTCCATCCCTTATTGGCTGTGACGTCGGTATTCCAGCGTGTTCTGACATTACTTGTGTTAAGACGAGGTTATGATGAATAGTCTAGACTGGCATAGGCTGATGTCCCGTACGTCAGTAGCGTTATCCGGGAGTAGAGGAAGCGTCCAGGATAGAGTGACCCTCGGCACCGAGGAAAGACTCACCTCGGGGACCGAGGCGGTATGTTTCCGAGCTACACGGTGACCGAGGACACGTGTCGTTGTATAATGCACCGAATATGTGATCCTATATGAGAGGTACCTCGGGGGCGAGGACACTTTTGCCGATGGTGCTTGAATCCGAGCAACATTGTCCTAGAACCCCGAGGACACGTGTCTTCATCATAGGGCTTTTCAGAAAAGTCCCATCAGTTTTCTTCTTTTGTTTTGTGGTTCATTCACTCACTCTAACTAACTGATGAATGGAAAGAGGAAGAAGGCCAAACGAACTTGTATACGTGGCAACACCAGCTTCATCCAAATGACATCTAAGTAACCAACACGCTACTTATAGATTCCGAGGGCCAACACTTCCATCAAAATATATGAAATTCTACGTACTCGCTCCGTTCATAAATATATGTCGTTTAAAGGTTTTACACAGGAATTAAGCAAACTTTTAAATAGCTCTAATATGAATAAAAAATAATTGCACAANAGATGAGTATTTATACCTTAGAAGCTCATGATTGCTGTCAGTGTGGTCAGTAGGTGATCATNATTTTACACAGAAATTAAACAAGCTTTTAAATAGCTCTAATATGAATAAAAAATAATTGCACAAAACTAAAATACTTTTATTCAATACGTATTGAGAATGAAAGGAATATAAAAAGCACATAACCTTCACTAAATCTAATGCTTTGAAAAATTAAAGGTAAATTTAAAAGAAAAAATATTAATTATGTTTTGAATTCATTAAACAACAGATATTATGCAACAAAAAAAATTGTGTAAAACGACAAAAATTTAAGAACGGAAGAGGTAATAAAATAGTTTACAGTTCAAATCTCAAAAGATAAAAAAAATGAATTTTGTTATTCACGGTTAAGATCGCTTTAAATTTTTCTTTAAAATTAATCTAACGACTAATATTAACACCCTAAATTTAATAAGAAAAATAGGTCGTTAAGGGTGTATGTAGAGTGACTTTTTAAAAGTACTTTTAGAAGTTTTTTCTCATAAATAGTTTTTTTTTTTAAAAATAGTGCTTNAGTGTATTTAGAGTGATTTTTTAAAAGTATTTTTAGAAGTTTTTTCTCATAAATAGTTTTTTTTTTTTTTAAAATAGTGCTTGAAATCGCTCGACCACTACCTCTACCACCTCTACCCACCACCCTCACCACCACCACAATCATTGTCACCCACAACAACCATCACCGTCTCCTACTACCACCACTGTCGCCCACTATCTCTCACCCCCACTACAAACTGATACTTAAATTTTTTTATCTCTTCTATATGTTTGTGATTTGATTTTGGTTATGAATACAAATATTTTTATTATTTATTATATTTTATTATTCTCTGCCTTTAAGCACAGACAATAACTAGTACCTTAAAATATTCTTAACATTAGAGAGGTCATAAATGTATATTAGATATAAAATATTTGTTAAAATATGTTGAATTACTTCAAAATATTTTGAAACACTCAAAACATTAAAATTTTAATTCAATCATTAATTCGTTTCAATCTCCTGAAAAACAAAACTATTTCAATTTTTTCCAAACAAAGTTTTGTTCCTTTATTTTGACCTCTTAACTATGTTAATATTATTAGTGGGAAGTTGGATTTTCAATTTATTGTAAAGTAAAATAACTATCAAGATTGATTTAATGGTATAAATTTTTTTTTTTTTTGCCTAAAAAAATCATCTTTTTTGCACGTCCACGAATATCAAATAACTCAATCANATTTATTTCATTTTTTTTTTGCCTAAAAAAATCATCTTTTTTGCACGTCCACGAATATCAAATAACTNCTGTTTTCCGATTGAACGGTGGTGTCATCCGGTCGGTACGTATTGATTTAAACCCTCGGGGAACTTCCTCAGGTTTTCAAGAGAGAACACCTTTTCCTTCCCTTTTTTTTTAGAGATGCCTCGTCGTCGCCCTGCTCCCGAGAATCCATCGGCTGGTCCCTCGGGGTCAGGGAAATACAAGGTCACAGGCGAGGCGCAGATCGACAGGTTCAGGGTTAAGTATGGCATCCCCCCGAGCGTGGACGTAGTGGGCTTTAACCCTTTGTTGAACTCTCCTACCTTCGGGGCCGCGGATGCCATGCCTTTCTATACCAAGGCCATCATAGAGGGTGGAATTAGGTTTCCTTTACCCCCCCNAAAGGCTTAGAGAAGTAAGATTTCATTGCTCTTTCTTCATATATTCCCCAAGGATAAGGACCAGTAACTAGTCGTATGTCAACTACTTGACACTCCACTCTGAATATAATGTTTGTCAAGGCGCTACATGCTAATTATACAAAATGTTACCTTTCTAAAGGTTGAATATACCAAAATTTGTTCTTCTTTCCTGTCTCTTTCTTGGAGTTTTATGTTTTTTTGTTGTTATTTTTTTTTTGGGGTGGTATTTGAACCAACTCCAGCACCCTCATTTTTTCCAAATATGACTATGTTGAGTCTGATGCAAAATCCCCTGAAAAACAAATTTGGATTGAACTTCTGATTTGCTTTTTTTATTTGCAAGATCTGAGCATATTTCTGTTAAGCTAATGTGTCCTGCAATTAAAGCACCCAATGTATACTGGTTCAACTTCTGTTAACTCAAATTTTCTAAGGTACAATAGTCTATAGTGACATTTGTGATTTGACTTTTGGTTTATACGCAACATGAACAATAGCATATCTGTCTATTTAAAGCCTTGAACAGTGGCTATTCATCTATGAACAAAGAATAAGCTATTTCACTTTCCTTGGTCAGATGAAGTAATGATAATAGTTGTTTGTTGGTATCTCTACAGATCCTTGGCAAGAGGATGCCTGATACGAGGTGGGAGACCACTGTGAACCATGCCAAGAAATGTAAACGTGATACAAAGACGTATTTATACTATCCTCCCAGTTCACAGCCAAAAATTGGTGTCGTGTTTGATTGTGTGGGACAAGTTATGGGGTTATATTCGGAATCGGAATCCCTGCATGTTCCCGTTGATAAGCTCTCTGAGACTCAGAAGGCACGCTTCTCTTACCAAATGATTTTTTCTGTTTTACCTTCTTTCATCCTTTTATGGGTCATTTCTAACACGTAGTTTGTCAATTTTGGCATTAGGCTCATGCCCTCGAGTTGGTGGTATCTGCATTTAAGCACAGGGTAGATGTTATCCCCATTGATGATTATACTTCTCTTACTCAGCGCTCTTTGCCCTCATCTGAAGGTGTTCACCCCAATAACTCCAACGACCCAGATTGGCCCAATGTATACGACTTTGGGACTTCTGCCATGAATGGTGCTTACAATCCTACAAATCCTGGTACATCGTTTCAAGGTAGCATTGTACCCACATTTCCCAGTTGGCCAACAAATAGTCCTAGGGTACATGGCTTGCAGAACACTGGCAATATGGCCCCAGACACTGGCACCAACTTCTCGAGCTACGACACAGTGCCTCTCCATTCTGATGGGGACATAGACAACTTGCTGAATTTTCCGAATTCTGATCTTGAACTTGTTGAGAACCATGGTTTGGAGTCACTTGCTGATCAACAGACTGTCCATGCTGCAGTTGTTCCTAGTGAAGACCCGGCGGAGATGGGGCGATAGCATCCAAGGGTCTGGGATGATTGTTCAGGATGAGAAAGCTTGTCATTTTGAAAAATAACAATGGTGCTAAAAAGCAGAGACTCGACTAATGTGCTGGCCAGAATGATTCAATCATATCACATACACAGTGCAAGCAACTGCTTCCCATTCATAGATTGTGTGAAGTTAGGACAAGTTGGAGCTTTTTTCAGGTGCCAGACCAAGTGTAAGTAATAAATGTGTGAGGCATAGTTCTGTTAGCTGGACTTCATGTTTGTTTTTGTTTTGTCGTCATATTGTCAAATGTCTCTTCATGATGTTCGTTTTTGTTTTGGCATTAGATTGTCAAATGTCTTTTATTTCCCCTACATAAGTGGATGCATATGTTAAAGCTGGAACATATATGTATAACTTTGCAGCTTATAAATATAATATATACCCCTAAACAAGCAAAGTCACTGTGAAATGGAAAAGAATTGTTCAATACACAAGTTTCGATTTTGAGGGAAACAAGAATAGTGGACAGAGACACTGTCAAGCTTCCCATGCCACCGACGTGATCTCTAGGCCAGAAGCAAGTAGATAAGCCAAAACCAAGAGACTGATCCAAGCTTCATGATCCTTGCACATTACAGCCAGCAAAATGACTGAAAAATACCTTATGTGTTACATGCCTTGTTGTCATTGCATATTTCTTCCTGTAAGGGGGGAAAAAAGAAGGAAAAATGGAGTCATTTAAGTATTCCTTCTCACTTACCCCAAAAAAATAAAAGCATGGCTTCTCATGTGAAATAATTAAACACTTCTGAATGTTTGCAACAAAACTTTCTTAGATTAGAATGCTTATGCATAGGAGTGCTGTCTTGAAATTAGTTCTAAGACAAGGACAGGAAAAGGAAAAAGGGCTGAGAAGAAGCCAGCCTCTGTAGACGATATCAGTTTCTATGTCATACTAGTTAGCAATGTAAGTTTTTCCTTTACTTCTTTAGTAAACTACTTGTTGTCTTATATCGAGTTTAAGATTCAAAAATTAAGTTTATATACAGGATAAATTATTGAACAATGAGTAGGGAGACATGAATGCAGAGCTATTCAGCAAGTGGTGATTAGTCTCATAAGAAAGTAACTTGGCCTATATCTTGCACAAGGCCAATGAAAACTACTTTAAAAATTGTAGTTTCGGATCCTGAATTTCCAAGTTAAGAGACAAACAGCAGGACACCAGAAAACTTCATTTCTTTCCAACAATCAGCTGAAACTATATGTACTAACCCACCCTAGCTGTATTATTTCTTATGCCTATCATAATCAAAGCCAGTGTAATCTCCATATTTTTTTCCACACCACTCCAGTGCTTGCTCTGTAAGAAGATTAAACCAAAACTAATGTGTCTATAAGGTAGATTTTGATACATATTCTTGGGAGGAATACCCATTTTCGATTGCCCTATGAATGCAGTCCACTTCATATTCTTTGATGAGTAAAAGTTTAGGCTGTGGATTCAAAGTCAAACTTAAGGATAATGGTTCCACAATATGTGATACTGTAGATTTGGATTTTTTGTATTAAAGTGAAACCTTCTATTACACCTAAACTGAAATTTCTAATTCCATTCAAAGAAACAATTGGACTTGGTTCCAGGGGTACTGGAGTTGCACACTGCGAGGGAAGATTGTTGCATCAATTTTTTGTTAGTTGGAAGGATGGAAAGTTGGAAAGTTGGAGGGATACATAGGAGATAGACGGGTGAAGGAAACCCTCTCACCCATACAAACCACACGGGTTTGAGTCTCATCTCACCCCATGAATGTGTTGTCCCTCTCCTGTGACATATTAAGTTCTCTAAAGAAAAAGTCATTAACAATGACATTTATGCAATTCATGACACTTCAGGAATGAAAAGATAACATAGATTATAGCAATTGCATTTGCAGACCTTCTTCTTCCGTGCCATTATAACTTCTTCTAGAGGTGGCCGGCCTGTAATCAGAAAGATCATGGACTAGTCATTATTAAAGCTGAAAACTTGTACAAAATAATATAAGCCATCTACATAACATAGAAGTACACGTTTTTGGGATTTTCTGATGTAACTTACTGAAGCATCATTTGAAGTATGTCACATGAACATATATGTAGCATAACATGTTGGGAAGTGGCAAAAGTATAAGCATACGTCCTCGTGTGATAAAATAAATTTGGGATATGGTTCACTCTCAACCTAGCAGATGACCTGCAATGGAGCAGCTATAAACTATTGGCCGATAATTGAAAATATGAAAGGGAGCATTATGCAAAACAGATGCTAAGCAGATAATCACATATTTATCGCCAAAACAAAAATAAAAATCAAAACATAGTGAGCAAACAGGGAGTACCTGTTATTTGAAGACGATATTTTGCCCAAACACCATACACAACATCGGCTATTGTTGCAACCTGTCAATATAATGTCTTTTCAACACAATTCCCATATAAGAAGATACTAACAAGCTTGCTGATAAGATCACATTGCCTAGACCGTGACAAATCAATTGAACTCAAATGTAAATAAGAGGACTCACAGGCTTGTATTTGGTTATGGCATAAACCCATCCCAGACCAACTGCTTCATATAGTTTTCTAAATGCCTGCACAAGTTCATAATGAAATTTTGTTTCTTGGTGTGCTTTTCAAACCAAACAGAAGAATAACAGCTTCAACTTTTAGGAACAATAAAAATTTGCAGAGGGTTCCTCAATTATTTTCTAGATGCAGAATTATCTAATAATGAATGGCCAATGTTCGTGTTATCCACTTCCTCTAGTCCTTTCGCATCACCACAAAATAAGCAAATAAAATAGTTGTATGGTCGTATATAACTTCACTTACTTCAGCTTGTTCCAAAATCATAAATACGTGAAATGGCACCACGCATGCGCTTGAAAAAAATGGAATTAAGAGTCTTCTTCAAATCTATTAATTGTTGCTTAAAATCCAACCAATAATCATTTGAAGAAAATCTTGCTCAAACAGGGCAGTGGCGAAATTGGAGTTTCAGCTTTTGATATGTGGGGATGACAGGACAAATATTAATTGCAGCAAAATAATCCCTTAATTCAGGTGCATAGACTAAATTAACAAGAATCAGCATGCATACAACAGAGGAAAATAAGGGTAAGATAGAGACACCACATCTTATGTATGTAGTTTTAGATTAACTAGAAAGGCATAAAAATATGAAGAAATTATTAAGGCTATTATGAAAATCTTACAGGGGTATACCTCAACGTTTTTGACTACAGCTCCATCAGATAGGATCGCATGAATTCTTCCCATCACCTAAACAATAGAAAATATATTTGTGAGACCTTAAACAGTCATAACAACTAAAAAAATACAGATTCATGAAGTTATGCTATAGAAGTCCATAGTATTGTGCCACCGATTGGCTGATATCAGGACATTGGCCTTCAATTCATGAAGAATTTATGACAGTATGAGAGCCAGTTATCAGTTAAAATCACACTTTTCTGTAGTATTAATACGTCCCAATAGCCTTACCCAAGAAAGTTGGGTTTAAGGCTTGTCAACATTATAAGCCTGAGGCTGAGAGGCTTCAGGGTCCCAGGGAGGCAAATGTAAAAGAAAGACTTAAATCTCGATCATTACTCATGCTATGAATTCATTAAGTTATATAATGGAAATAGAAGCAAGATGTTATTAAGGTATTAAGGTGCAGATGTTAAGTCACACAAGGTGTAGTCCCAAACTTGCACACAGTTTGCAAAAAAGAAAACATTATGAACTTTATTGTTTTGTACTGTAAACTTCAGATCATTATTAAATGCCACTGTTTTACTTCAAAACCATATATGCTATTTTATAACTAAGAATTGACTATTTTTATGATTTCTAAACCTTATTTGGGTTGGAGAGAGCCCATGTAGCTATTGTAATGTGTATTAGATTACCATGTATTGCATGTATAAATATGACTAAAGAATAGGCAATGTGAGTGTCTTAAAAGTTTGGAAGTGTTTTGAATATTACAGGCATGTAGGAGAGAATTTAGATAGAAAAAAAAGTAGATACTGCCTTATTAAGTGTGAAATAAAATTACAGTTTCATAGTCAAGGCCCTGATTCTCCTCCGGAGAGTATTGAACCGAACTTATATCAGCAAACTTGATTGTTCCATAGCTCTTATTCCTCTCTCTTATCATATTGACCTGACAATAGAATCACACCAATATGAAATTATATGAAACTAAGTTACCTAGTAAAAAAATTAACAGAACAACTGAAGAATTCACCACTCAAAACACATTAATAATACTATGGAAGTAAATAAAAACCTAGAATGCAATTGTGTGTAACTTAGATTGCACCTCACGCATGCAAAGAGAGCACTCGCCATCGTAAAGCATTTTAATCTTCCATTCCTTGGATAATTGTTCTTCATCTTCTTTCTTGGGAGTTACAGGATCTGCTGCTGCCCCTTGTATTGCGCGAATCGAATACTTAAATTCTACAACCAACAAAATATTAACATGAAAAAATTAACCAAATTCTAAAATTTCAAATCTATAACACCCAACAAATTTTGTTCCATTCTATGCTTAACAAAGCAGCAAAGAACTAAACCCAATTTGAATTAGACTCAATTCAACCAAGAAAGAACAAGAAATCAATAGAATCATAAAAAATGTACGTAATTGATAAATAACCAGTTTGGGAATGGGCAAATGGAAGTGATCTATGAAGAGGGTTTGAAGCAGAACCATGATATCTAGTTCTGAGATATCCTGAAATCGAGAGCAGAGATGTTGTGCTTGTTTGTCTTCCGATTGAAGAAGCTGCACCTCTAATCGCCATTGTTTTCTTCTTTTGTTTTGTGGTTCATTCACTCACTCTAACTAACTGATGAATGGAAAGAGGAAGAAGGCCAAACGAACTTGTATACGTGGCAACACCAGCTTCATCCAAATGACATCTAAGTAACCAACACGCTACTTATAGATTCCGAGGGCCAACACTTCCATCAAAATATATGAAATTCTACGTACTCGCTCCGTTCATAAATATATGTCGTTTAAAGGTTTTACACAGGAATTAAGCAAACTTTTAAATAGCTCTAATATGAATAAAAAATAATTGCACAAAACTAAAATATTTTTATTCAATACGTATTGAGAATGAAATGAATATAAAAAGCACATAACATTCACTAAATCTAATGCTTTGAAAAATTAAAGGTAAATTTAAAAGAAAAAATATTAATTATGTTTTGAATTCATTAAACAACAGATATTATGCAACAAAAAAAATTGTGTAAAACGACAAAAATTTAAGAACGGAAGAGGTAATAAAATAGTTTACAGTTCAAATCTCAAAAGATAAAAAAAATGAATTTTGTTATTCACGGTTAAGATCGCTTTAAATTTTTCTTTAAAATTAATCTAACGACTAATATTAACACCCTAAATTTAATAAGAAAAATAGGTCGTTAAGGGTGTATGTAGAGTGACTTTTTAAAAGTACTTTTAGAAGTTTTTTCTCATAAATAGTTTTTTTTTTTAAAAATAGTGCTTGAAATCGCTCGACCACTACCTCTACCACCTCCACCCACCACCCTCACCACCACCACAATCATTGTCACCCACAACAACTATCACCGTCTCCTACTACCACCACTGTCGTCCACTATCTCTCACCCCCACTATAAACTGATACTTAAATCTTTTTATCTTTTCTATATGTTTGTGATTTGATTTTGGTTATGAATACAAATATTTTTATTATTTATTATATTTTATTATTCTCTGTCTTTAAGCACAGACAATAACTAGTACCTTAAAATATTCTTAACATTAGAGAGGTCATAAATGTATATTAGATATAAAATATTTGTTAAAATATGTTGAATTACTTCAAAATATTTTGAAACACTCAAAACATTAAAATTTTAATTCAATCATTAATTCGTTTCAATCTCCTGAAAAACAAAACTATTTCAATTTTTTCCAAACAAAGTTTTGTTCCTTTATTTTGACCTCTTAACTATGTTAATATTATTAGTGGGAAGTTGGATTTTCAATTTATTGTAAAGTAAAATAACTATCAAGATTGATTTAATGGTATAAAATTTATTTCATTTTTTTTTTGCCTAAAAAAATCATCTTTTTTGCACGTCCACGAATATCAAATAACTCAATCAAGACACTTTCTAATCCATATCTACCTCTTTCTTATTTCTCTCTTATTTCTCTTTCATTTTTTATTTGTTTACTTTAATTTTAAATTGAGTAATTAAAAAATAAATAAATTACTATTTAAAATATAAAAATATTACACAATTAATACACAATTTTTGGTATTGCAGGTATCATCACGAGTTATTGCTACTATTCTTATATTACCCATTCAATTTCGTGTATCTCACACTGTCCATTTAATTAATATTATCAGTTCCACATTGCGGCATTTGCTAATTACAGTTACAATTAGATAGATTAAGATCTAATGACACAAATTATTATTTTTTTGCCGTAAGTATAATAACTGTGATTTTTGGGTACCGTGAAACCAATTTAATCAATTGAAAAAAAAATGATAAACTCAATCAATATTTATGAGTGGGGGTAGGATATTGTATAGCTTTGGGGGCAAAATTACAATTGATTCATTTATTTAGGTTTAGGTGGAGTTTGTATAGTTTGTTGGGGGGGGGGGCTAATTATAATATATATCCATCCAATTTCATTTTGTTTACCTGGAAATAACATCAGATCATCAGGCGAGCTTTGTTACTTTCTTTCCCTCTCCAATAATGGCTTTCTTACTCAACAAAACGAGCTTCTATGTTCTCTCAGCTTCGTCTCCATCCCCAGGTACTTCTCTCTCTAAAATATATCTGTAACCGTCGATCTGGTTCTAAGTCTGATAGATTTTGTGGTACGAGCTGTCGCAGAAGGCTGATGATTCGCTATCATTATCGAGACGCGGGTTTCCATGTCGAACCAGGGGCTCGCGAGAAGGCTGTGAGTGTTTTTCTTCTCTCTATGAGGATATATCCATTTGCTTATTACATTTCTTTTCCATAGATGTAATCAATTGAATTGGATTACTGAACATGCTGAGGTATATGAATGCAAGACAACAAACACAATAGATCGAAATTATCCTCTTGAACATGAAAGTGAAGTCTATTACGGTGTTA